ATTCGAGGCATTTAAATGGCCTCTCTCCTGTATGAATTATTTGATGACAAGTGAGTTCTCCCTTCCATTTGAATTTCTTTCCACATTCGAGGCATTTAAATGGCTTCTCTCCTGTATGAATTTTTTGATGACAACTGAGATTTCTCTGCTGATTGAACTTCTTCCCACATTCGAGGCATTTAAATGGCCTCTCTCCTGTATGAATTATTTGATGACGAGTGAGATCTCCCTTCCATTTGAATTTCTTTCCACATTCGAGGCATTTAAATGGTTTCTCTCCTGTATGAATTCTTTGATGATGAGTGAGATTTCCCTTCAGACTGAATTTTTTTCCACATTCGAGGCATTTAAATGGTTTTTCTCCTGTATGGATTCTTTGATGACGAGTGAGATCTCCCTTCTTACTGAAATTCTTTCTACATTCTAAGCATTTAAATGGCTTCTTTTCTGCATGGATTATTTGACGAGGAGTAACATTCCTCTTTCTACTCAACCTTTTTCTATATTCCGTGCATTTAAATTGGTTTTCTTTGATGTAAGCAATTTTATGATGTGATAGGTTTATCTTCCTAATTAAACATTTATCAGAGTTTAACCAGCCAAATGGTTTCATCTCTGTGTGGGAGCTTTCATGTGATCTCACCCTTGAGCTCTTTCCACATCTCAACAACTCACATTTTCTTTCCCCTGAGTGAATTCTTTCTACATGAATTCTCCTGTGAAAAGTAAGGATTTCTTTACAACTGGCACTCCTCCAAAATTCATGAGAAATACGTTTACTCTGTTCATCTCCCTTCTGACTTATTTCTTGGATGGATATTCTATAAAAATCTCCAGTCTGAGAAGCAGACACTTTATTCATGCTCCTCTCGTGAGGGTTGATTTTGCATCCCTTTTCTGTCTTCTGTTGACGTTGGGCTCTTGGCTGCAAAGACATCCTTTGTTCTTTTACTTTCTCTCTCTCCTGACAATCATCACCTGTAAAGAGAGAAATAACGTAGCTATACTCCAAGGAAAAAATGGTACTGGACTCAAATACATTATTGACATCAATGTCCCCAGTTGGAGCACGGGATTTGAGGAAAGTGGGCCACCTGTGTTTCTCTGAGAGACCATCAGCTTCACTCAGCACCTCTCAAAGGTTTTTGGGAAAAGCTGGTTACTATACTGATTTGACAACCCTAATATCATATTAATTTTGTTAATATTGATTAACACTATTGTAAAGTTTCTTGTTCTGTTGAGATTGTAAGCCTTGTGCACAGGAGCCTTTTCTTTGTTATGTAAGCTTTATAGGACCATCTGCTGAAAGGATTTGGCTCGAAGGGACAGATGGAAGGCTCAACTGACAGCAATACAGCAAGAATGAAGGAAGAGGTAACAGGGGTCCCTGCAAAGTAATTGGATCAACCAGGAAAAACAGGGAGCCTCACCTAGAGAGGCCACGAGCTCCATGTTCTCCTCCATGACTGCCCTGTGCAGAGCCCTTTGGTCCAGATCTAGTAGGGACCACTCCTCTTTGCTGAAATGAATGGCCACCTCCTCAAACGTCACCTGGGGGAAGAAATATTATCTGTTACCCAAAATTTCTAACACCAGTCAGAACAGAAACAACTCACATTTTCTTTCCCCTGAGTTTAGTAGTTTAGGAAAAAATGCCATGACAAACAAGTCATTGAAAGGTAGGAAGAGGAGAGAAAATGCTTCAAGTCATTGGAGAAGAAGGGCCAGGATCACCCCATCTGCCCCCTCCAGAGATCCTGCCCCTTACCTGATCTAGGCTCTCAGAAGATGTTCTCAGACCACTAGAATGAAGAGCTGAAGCAGTACATCTTGTCCTTGGCAATCTTTCATCTCCTG